CAGCAGGAACTCAGCAGCAACTCCCACATATAGATATCCCCCACCCCCCCACACACACTTTCCTGAAGCCTTCCTGCAGAAATGGAATAGGCCATAAATAGGACAGCATGGAATGATCTTACAGAACCTAAAATTCTGCTCGCAAGGGGCTACAACTATCCTTTCTCAGCTCTCCCACTCTAGCAATCCCTAATACCACCCCGATCCACTGGGGAAGGAGAGAAAACCACCAGCATCGAGGCAGCCTGGGCCCCTGGCCACTTCCAACAGGGTATCACAGACTGTACCAGGAATCTAGGACCCCAGACACACCTCTGAAATCATAATTGCATCAGAGGAAATGGGAGTCCTTGTTCACTTTCAGGTCTACTGTAGCCTGAAATCTGTTAACTTGGAGCATAGAGGCCACAGTATGGACCTGTTCTTGCACGAAAATCACAAAAGTCTTTCCTTCCTTCCTCCTACAATTTTCACCCTCCCAGCTAAGATCTGAAGCCCCAGCTACTACACAAGGATGACCCTGGCCTTTCTTTGTAAGCCCTGTCAATCATGAAGAAGGTATGCACAGCCATGCATGTTACTTTTGAAATGACAACATTTGAAGTTATTCCCAGTTTTACTGTTTGCCTTTGAAAATGAATCCACCAGGTCACTTAGGAACAAAATTTCTGAGAATGAAGACCCAGAGCCTGTGATAGCAGAGACTATCCAGGTGTACAGGGACATACTGGGACCACCTCCCTGTCTCCCAGGCTCTTTTCTCCATATATAATGACTAACAAGATCTCCCTATACTCCCTCCTGAACTTCTTGGAGAAGTCAGATTTAATTCCAGTACAAAGTCACTGCTATAAAGATGGAAGGATCTAGGGGCTTTCCTGGTGGAGTAGTGGTTGAGAATCTGCCTGCCAATGCAGGGGACACGGGTTTGATCCCTGGTCCGGGAAAATCCCACATGCTGCGGAGCAACTAAGCCTGTGCACCACAACTACTGAGCCTGTGCTCTAGAGCCTGTGAGCCACAACTACTGAGCCCACATGCCGCAACTACTGGAGCCCGCGTGCCTAGAGCCCGTGCTCCACAATGAGAAGCCACCGCAATGAGAAGCCTGGGCACTGCAACGAAGGGTAGCCCCCACTCGCTGCAACTAGAGAAAGCCCGTGCACAGCAGCAAAGACCCAACACAGCCAAAAATAAATAAATAAAATAAATAAATTTATATAAAAAAATTAAAGATGAAGGATCTAAATGGGGATCCAGAACGAACAAGGTTCTGGAATATGGGGCAGGGCTGGAGCACTGGTATTTCAGTGAGAAGAAAGAGAATACCATCTGACTGAATCCTCAAATGAAAAAAAACATAGCAACATTTATAATCAGGAGCATCATCTGAGGTTTGCCCTCACCTTCCACCTGTCTCAGTCAATTTCTGGCATCTTGTTAAGAAGAAATTCACTTGGCTTATATGGAGGAAAATTTTCTGATTTTATAAAATGTGAGGGAATACCTAGTCTAAGACATCCAAAACAAGGTCACTTGATTCAGTTCACCTCAACAGATACTGTCACAGTAATGGCTAATTCCCCCAGTAACCATCCTTTCCTTCTCTTACACCCACCTCCACCCTCACTCCTGAGTTTGCTCAGGGCACATGGCCACCTGGCTACTAGCCTCCTGCAGTTAGGTGGGTCCATGAAACCACTTGCTCCCCCTCCTGGGGGTCAGAGCAGAGTGGAGGTACAGATGCATCTGCTTGGACCACGCAGATGAGATTAAGCCTAATGGAATGCCAGAGCAGTAAGACAGAAGGAACCCAAGTCCCCACGTCCATAGCTGGAATCTTGGAGAACGGCCACCTACCTGGCCTGGACCCCTGCCTACCTCTGGACCATGCCTTATGTGAGAAAGAAAATTCCATTTTGTTTAGCCTTTATTTTTTTGGTTTTGTTATAGCAGCTTGGTTTTTACCCAAATCAACATATACCCTTGCTGAATGTGCCCTGCTCAACCTCTCCTTGCCATGTCAATTTTACTTTGTTTCAATTTTACTTTGTTTACCAATCAAGAATGTTTAGGATGGTAGTTCCCTGGTGGCCTAGTGGTTAGGATTCCAGGCTTTCACTGCCACAGTCTGCGGTCCAGGTTCAATCCCTGGTCGGGGAACTGAGATCGCAAAAGCCGTGAGGTGTGGCCAAAAAAAAAAAACCCACAATGTTTAGGATGAATGGATAAACAAAATGTGGTATTATATATAATGGAATATTATTTAGCCTTAAAAAGGAAGGAAATTCTGATACAACTTACAACACAGACAAACCTTAAGGACATTATGCTAAGTGAAATGAGCCAGTCATAAAAAGACAAATACTGTAGAATCCCATTTATATGAAGTACCCAGAGCAGTCAAATTCAGAGACAGAAAGTAGAAGGGTGGCTGTCAGTGGCTGGGGGAGGGGAAATGGAAAGAAGTTGCTTAATGGGTACAGAGTTTGCTTTGCCCCACACAAGGAGTTCTGGACATTAGTTGCAACAGAGTGAATGTACTTAACACTACTGAACTGTACACTTAAAAATGGTTAAGATAGCAAACTTTATATTATGTATATCTTACCACAGTTTAAAAAACAAAACCCAAAAACTCAGAACAGGGACTTTCCTGGTCGTCCAGTGGTTAAGAATCTGCCTTCCAAAGCAGCGGGCATGGGTTCAATCCCTGGTCTGGGAACTAAGATCCCACATGCTGAGGGGCAAATGAACCCATGCTCTGCAACTAGAGAAGCCCATAACAAAGACCCAGCGCAGCCAAAATAGAAAAAAACAACTCAGAACGGTACAAAAAAAAAGAAAAAACTATAAATACACCACTTTTTTTTTCTTTTTTTTTCTAAGGCATTTTATTTTATTTTATTTTTTGGCCGCACCATGTGGCATGTGGGATCTTAGTTCCCTGACCAGGGATCGAACCTGCACCCCCTGCATTGGAAGTGTGGTGTCTTAACCACTGGACCACCAAGGAAGTTCCCACACACCGTATCTTGATTACAGTAGTGTTTGTATATACATTTGCCAAAACTCAATAAACATTTAAAATGGGTGAACTTAATTATATGTAAATTATACCTCAATAGAGTTAATTTTTTTAAAAAAGAATGTTTATCATGTAACTGAGAATTTTAAATAAAAGTCTCAAACTTATTCATCTTATCACCGATTTTGTGGCTTTCCAATTTCTCCTATTTATCCTGCCCTCCGCCCACGCCAAATCAGACTCATCCCCAAAGCTGCAGGTGCCACACTTACTGCAAGATGCTCATCTTGAGCTGCAGGCCATGCAAAACCTCGATCACTCTCTGCACATCGCCGAGAAGCTGGTGGGTGGCCACAATCTTCTTGGCATTCTGGTGGGAATAATTCTCTTCTAAAAATGCCAGGCCATGCATATGTCCCCTGCTCAACCACTCCTTGTCATACCAGTACTTGAAGCCAGGTCTCTGACCTAAAGCAGTGACAATGACAGAATTAATCCTTGGTCTGAAGGAAACCCAGACCATTTCAGCATCGCACAATTATCACACAAACTATTGGAAGGATGGACTGGTGTGTTCATTTCGTTCATTCATTCATCCAGTATACGTTTACTTGGCACCTACTATATGCTGGGCTCTCTACTAGGTGTTGGGGATAAGGTAGCGAGAAAAGTATATAAATTTCCTGATCTCTGCAACTGGCCAGAGGTAGAATGGGAACTTGGATATCTTGTTAAAGTTTAATCACATAATTCCCTCTCCCACTTAAAACCTTCGATGACTTCTTTCTTCCTGCACAGAAGAAAACCCAAAGCCCTGACTGATCTAATGAGGCTCCTTCCTGCCCTCCTTGCCCCACCCTTTCCGGAACACATTCAAGCTCTTTCTGGTCTTAGGGTCTCTGCTCTAGCACCCCTACCCCTGTCTGGAGCACTATTCCCCAAGGCCTTTGCAGGACTGGCTCCTTACCACCTCCTCAGAGAGGCCATTGGTTACCTCCCAAAGTACGAGAGCCTCTTCCGTGCCTCCTAGTCATTCCCTATCTCAGGGCTTTTGCCCCCTCAAAGCATTCATCCCTACCTAACATGTTCTTGTTTAGATGACTTATTTTGACATCTGTTGCTGGTCCAAACCCCACTAAAAGCCAGAAGAATAGGAATTGTTTTGTTCATGGTTATATCCTCAGTGTCTGGCAAAAGGCATCGTGAATGGATTTATCAAATGGAAAGAAGCCCCAAGGGCCCCTCCAACTGTCACCTAGCACCTAACTAAATGAATGGTCAGCCCCCCACTCCCTTCTCTGGACCTCCATTTCCCATCTGTAACAATGACAGATGAACCAAACAGCTTCAGCGGTCCTGTTCATTACAGGGATCCTAAGGAAGGACTGAAAACACAACCACACGTGACTTGGCACAGTGTTTCCTGCTGTAAAAGCCCAGGGAACAGCTTCCAATCAGACTGCTGTTCACCTCTCAATGGCTATAAAGACCCTAAAATAACCCGGGCAAACCCTATCAAGGTTCTTGCGCTCTTTCTGGCTTTTCTAAGACACATGGTAGGGATGCACCTCCACTCTGTTAACAACACCTTTAAGTAACCTTTAAAGAATAGATCTGTTAGATTAAACTTCTGGCTCAAGACTGCAGAATCAAACATAGTCAATAAATGTGACAGTCACTGAGTGCTCAATTCAAGGAGTCTATTCCCAGCCTTGGCAATTTAGTTATAAAAGTTCAGAAAGTACATAGGGATTGATAAAGATGGTGTATATGATTTCTAAAGAGAGAAAAGTGGACGGCAAGAGTGAGAGACAATAAAGTAGACAAGAGAGAGTTTTAAACGGTGCCCTAAAGGAGCCCTGGGGAGTATGTGTGGAATCTCAGAGGCAGCTGCCACAGAGGTAGCCTGAGCAGCAGGATTCAAAGCAGCACTACCTGTTTTACAAGACAAAGGTCAGAGACACCAGTTGTCATCTCCTCCAACCTAGCACTAACTGTCTGAGTGATCTGAGGCCAATCATGTCCCTTCTGGGCCTGCTGCTTGCCTGTTAAATGTCAAGGCTAAACTAAGTGGCCTCTGAGATCCTGCCCATCAATTATATTCTATGACTTACGGACTAATCTTCTGACCATATTCTTTCCTTGGGATAAAGGGGAAAACAGAGGCAGATTGCTCTCTGTCTATAGACTAATCTAGTACAAGAAGACACAGTGTCACAATAGAGGTTATCAGGCCCCAGGGGGACCTACTTGCTGGAAAATGAACTGTGGTAGCCCAGTCCCTCCCTATACAACCAGCAAAATCAAGAGACTTGGTCCCACAAGTCAGTTCTAATTCCAATCTGCTTCATGAGATTAGGAAAGTCATTCATTTCCCTGGGCACCAATTTCTTCCTCATAAGCAAAAATAGGAACAGGAGCTCCTACCAGGCCCACCTCATAGGACAAAAAGGAATAACAGAAGCAGAGGCTCTCCAGCGTTGTCTAGCTGTAAGGGGACTGGACCCAAGGGGAGCAACTTTACAGGTGATGAATGGAGACGATGTCACATCCCACTGACAACAAGACAAGAACCACAGATTTATAATCCACCCCTGAGATTTCTGGAAAGGGGAACCCAAGAGCCATAGGCCAGCCCTGCGGTCAAGGAACAATGAAACGAACTGATCCTAAGGAATTAATTCACTGCTCTGGGTGGCAGACAGGCTCTTCGCAAACACACCTTTCCCCTCCCCTCAAGGGCGTATCTCCCTTCAGAGGTGGCAATGATGCAATGGAAGGCAGATGCCACCAGGGGGAGCAGAGGCCGATTTCCAACCCTTCAACAGCCCTGAAAAGCCAAGGACAGAGCCTACATCCTCATGAACTCTCAAGAAAAGGAAAAGGTGCTCGCTCTGGCAGCACGTATTCTAAAACTAGAACAACAGAGAAAAGATTAGCATGGCCCCTACGCCAGGATGACATGCAAATCGGTACAGCGTTCCATAGTTTATACAGAGTTTCAGTCGTACAAGATGAAAAAGTTCTAGAGATCTGCTATACAACATTGTGCTTATAGTTTATAAAGAATACTGTACTGTACACTTAAAAATTTGTTAAGAGGGTAGAGCTTGTGTTATATGATTTTTACCCCCCCACACCCCCACACCCCCACACACACAACAAAATTCTAGCTCAAGGCCAGGCCTTCCACTAGGTGAACCTCTTCATACATGCTCTCTTACTGCCAAGTTCAGGACAGCTGGCCACCAGGTGAGCAACAAAGGCGAGGAGGAGGCAGAGTCTAGCCGATGCTGAAGAAATGAGTCTCAAGACCACAGACACTCAGGCTGTTTCACCGCCAGCTGTGCTAAGGAAAATGCTACATAGTGTTAATATCCCTGACTCCAGAAATCTCTACCTGGAGGGTCTTGGCAAACATAACAGGTGTATTTCTCAGGCACGTTTTCTTCCAGTAATCCCATGCAGACCCCATGCTGCCAGCACTGGCACTCTTCACACTGTTAGAATTAAAGAAGCAATAAAAATTAAACTCAGAAGGAATCCTCCATCCAAAAATAAGACCCACCTGTGGGGGATAAGGGGCAGTGGGAGGCGGAAGGAGGAGGGAGGGAGAGGAGGAGGAGGGAGTGGGAGCTGAGCTGCAACCACTCTTCCAGAGCAGCCACCTGTGCTTTTAACATTTAAGTTAAAAAACTAAGTTTAAAATTCAGTTCCTTAGTCCCATTAGCTACATCTTAAGTGCTCAATAGCCGTATGAGGCTAGTGGCTACCGTACTGGACAGCACAGGTGAAGAATATTTAAATTAAACACTACTGATCTCAGAAAAATGACTATTTTCCGTCCCATTTCTAGAGGCTTTCACTTTTCTGATCACTTTATAAAGAGAAAGGAAAAACTGTTTAAGTCCTTAGAGGGAGGTTAACTTAGAAAGACAAAAACCTGAGTTTGAATTCTGGCTCAGACATTCATTAGCTGTGTGACCTTGCACAGGTCAGTTCTCCACCCTGGGCTTCAGTTTCCCCATCTGCATAACAGGATACTATTCCTACCAACCGTGTGGGGCTGTTTGTGAGGAATCAATGGGTCACATGTCAAAATTCATATAGTAGAGCCCAGCACACAACTTTTATGTATTAAGAGCCTATTACTGCTACGAATGGGTAGGCTAACTCACTTTGATGCCTCCTGGACTCAACATATGCTAGCGCTTTGCATTTGTTCTTTCTAAACCTTACCAACGGTCACACAGCTGAGAAGACGCAACAGTGGATCAGAACACAAGCCTGGCTGACTGCAAGCCTAGTTCTTTTAACCCCTAGGCTCCACTGCCTTCCCTGGGGAAGGGGGAAAGAGAGAAGGGGCAAGAGGCAGAGAGGGAAAGAAAGGAGCAGAGGATGAGGGCAGCACTGGGAGACAGACGTGTGGCTGGCCTGAGGATAGCAAGCCTGAGGGCTAAGGGTCCAGAGGAGGGAATGGAGAGGAAAAGGATGCCAAAGGAGATACTAGGACACTTGAAGCAATTCCAAACCAGGGCCCTAAACCTTTAACTACCCAACCAAATGGATAGCTCTGGAAAGTGGACAGCAAGCTTCCGATATGGTCTGGAGGGTGGGCCACCAGCCTGGCCACAAGGGAAAAAGCTCACAGTCCTCAGCCACTTGGAGTCAGATAGGCCCCAGGATCAAAGGGCTTTTATGGGCTAATCATATCAGAATCAACAGGGGCAGAGCTGGAAGAGAGACTTCAGATAAGATGCGATCCAGATTCTTCCATTTCCAATGAGAAAACTAAAGGCTCAGAGAGAAAGAAAAGGGTGTGAGACAACAAAGGCAGTTAGTAGCAGAAAACAGACTAATAATTAAGAATGAAAGTCTCTCTCACCAATGACTTCATGTCTTAAGAACTAGGATACACCAAAATTGAATCAAAAACACCTAAGTTGAAAATTTCAAAATAACGTTTTTCCTGTGGGTCTGACTAATATACATTATTCATTTTTAAAAAGTTTAAATTGGAACTTCCCTGGCGGTCCAGTGGTTAAGACTCTGCATTTCCACTGCAGGGGGCGTGGGTTCAATCCCTGGTTGGGGAACTAAGATCCCGCACGCCGTGTGGTGGGGTGAAAAATTTGTTTAAATAAATATTAAAAATAAAAGTTAAAATTTTTTTTTTGGGGGGGAGGGCAGCTGTGCCACATGGCTTGACAAGCCAAAAGACGGATGACAAAGTGGGTACAAATATTTCTAACTGTTCTCACAGCTGATACAAAAACATATCTACAAAAAGCTTACACAGGGGGCTTCCCCGGTGGTGCAGTGGTTGAGAGTCCGCCTGCCGTTGCAGGGGACGCGGGTTCGTGCCCCGGTCTGGGAGG